ATATACACACAAACTTTGCACGTTTCCTCAATACGAGGAACAGTGCTTTCGCACGTTTCCTCCCCTCCTTTTTAAAAAAAAAAATATTATGGTCAAATCTTATTGGCCAAATAAAATTAAAAAAACAAAATCTTTTCTCATGATGAGAAACGTGGGGAGCTTTTAGGAGTGAGAAAAAAAATTCTCTTTCTTCATCTATTCCACATTAATTTAAAATAATTTTAAAATAATTTTAATATTAATTTATAATCAAATTAATTAATCCTAATATACCAAGACTTTAACACTATTTATATGTGTCATTACTCAATATGTCAAAAAACATAATATCATAAATATGAGTTTATTAATTACTCAGAATTACTATTAATTCATATATGACAATCATTGATTAATATTGAATGCTCTATTTAATAACGAAATTTATTAGAGATTTATAATTAATCACGTTCCGGTCTTATGTAATCATATTACATAAATTGTTTTCATTCCAATAATCTCATTATTAACAATTTAGGATAAGATTGTCTCATTCAGAATGTAATGAACCGCACTAGTAATTTTAAATTAAACATCCTAACTTTAATTTATAATAAAGGATAAATTTAGATTATTTTACTTCAAATATTATCCTCTACATATAACACTTATATACAATGTTTAAAGTTACATATAAAATAATTTAGGAATTTTTGATTATTATAAAACATCACATGCATACAAAATGATATTGAAAAAATTTCTCATTTCATTAATAATCAACAAAATATTTACATTTTATTTAATTTATAGGCACATATTTCAACAAAAAATTCTTAAAAAATATTACATTTAATTTTTTTTATTATAATTAAAAATTCTTAAAAAATATCACATCACAATTTAAATTAAAAATTTGAATAAAATTTTGTCTTCGTTTGTGTTCACACTGAATTCAAAATCCAGCTGCAGCTGTGATTTGATTGGTAAAGAAAACACATGACAAATATGCCTCCTAAAACCAGGTCGGTAAGGTAATAATTTAACGGGTCGTTGTGATAATTTCGGCCAAACGGACATTGTTAATGACGTATTGACTTAGCTATTGTTCTGAAATGCCGGTCACGGTCGCGGCACTCGCTCACTATATAACAACTTCAGCATTCTTTATGACCCACATGAAATATTTGGAGATAGAGAGAGAAAGTAGAGAGAGAGAGAGACCAAGATCTTTGAACAATGGCTTCAATATTGACAAGAATTATGTTGCCAACACCTCCTTCTCTTTACGTAAATTACTCGTCTTTGATTACAACGGCGGTAATATCCTTCATCGGATTGTCGGAGGCCTTTGGAAGCCACTTGGGGTATTCCAAGTTCTTCAACTTGGGCTCTCAAAATCAAAATTACCGAGTGAAATTGTCCAGCAGAATAGGCATGCTCTTGTTGTATACGCCGTCGTTTCTTGCCGCTCTTGCTTCTTTAGTCTTGCTTTTGCCCCATCACAAGGATGCCAGGTTTCTTTTGCTCAGCTTGGCCTTAACCATTCATTATTTCAAGAGGGATTTTGAGGTATTTTTTTTTTAATAATATTTTGTTTTATCTCTCTCTCTATGATTAGTAATTGTTTGATTTCGTTAAAACGTGAGAATATTTGTTGAGTGAGTCCACTTTTCGTGAAAAGATTTTCATTTTTTTTTTTTTTTCTTTACTCTCATCGCTTTGGCTGATCTAGTAATGTGGTTATGTACAAGTGTTGACTTGAAATTGCGTCTTTTTGGGTTGATTATCAGATAATAAGAAGTGATTTGAAGCACATGAAAGGAAACAGTAGTTCTTTTTAGGGACAGAAAAGGAATGGGATTTTATACATTAGCCCGTTCGTTTTTCACTGATTGTAGTTTTCAACTTTCAATTTATAGGAGAGAAAGTATTGTAGGTAGAAAAGAAAAATTTTATTTAAAATTTTATAACAAAAAGAGTCATAATTCAAACTACCTAAACGGAAGTGGTTGTAAGTTGACCCGTTATGATGTTCACATTTGGATTATTTATAAGTATATCAGTCAATAATTATGAGCTCTTTTAAAGATAGAGCGTGTTTAGTTCATCGATTTGAGTTGAGATGTGACTTTATATTAGAATTTTTGACAGTTTTTGAGAATTTTTTACTGTAGTAAAACTCGAAGACATTTGGATTATTTATAAGTATATCAGTCAATAATTATGAGCTCTTTTAAAGATAGAGCCTGTTTAGTTCATCGATTTGAGTTGAGATGTGACTTTATGTTAGAATTTTTGACAGTTTTTGAGAATTTTTTACTGTAGTAAAACTCGAATCAGTGAAATGAATAGGACTATAGGATCTCATACAATAGTATCCGAATTGGTCTAAATCATATGAAAAAGAAAATATATCATAGGAAGAGGGAAATATATGCGGAATAGACTGATATTTATAGTTAACTTTTTCATACCCTATGGTAGAAATCTCCTTTTAAAATTGAGATATGAAAATCCCTTTTCTTTTCATATTGGAATTTGGAATTTGTTTTTGATAGTTGCGAGTAACATCACGATATGCATATATTAACGTCTCCATCTCTATCTATATGGGTGCCCCCTGTTTTTTTTTTTTTTTTTTTTGAATTGTGAAAATTAGTTTGTGTTAGTTTTTTCCCCCTTAAATTTGTCTGTGTTAGTTATATGTACATTTGTATTTATTTGCACACCTGTATTTCATGTAGAATTGTAGATAATAGCGGCATAGTCGAATACTATAGATTATCAATATTGACACACAGCTGCAACCGAAGAGAGAAATACCATCACTGTTGGGCCCACTATCATATTATCTGCAAAAATATTTCAATAATTGAACAAATTTGACCCATCTTTGGAAAAAAAGAAATAATACTTATAGGTATGATTTTAAGTCCGATAGCTGTATGGTTCAATAGGTGTAACATTCTTTATATGATTTCGTAATTATTTGGTGTAAACATGGTAATACTAAAGCAAGTTAATATGGTGGTAGATTATATTTTATTGAGTGTTACAGTTAGATTAAAGCGCATTAACGATTTTACACATACAAACAAACAAAAAAAGTTTACAAGTATTTGGCATGAGGATTTGTGTCGAATAATGGTTCGTGGCTCTCTATAATATTTTCTCTCACAAAAAACACACATAAACCGAGGATGATTCTGAATTCATGAACCAAACGTCCACTGATTGTACAACATTATCCACATAATTTATCAATTAATTAATTACCATGATTTAACCTTGTAGGTTCTATTCATTCACAAATACAGCGGAGGAATGGCCCTTGGCAGTGCAATTCTGATCAGCCTCAGTTACTTCTCTTCCACTGCACACCTGATTTATTTCCACTACAAATTATATCCAACACAATTAGGAAAAAATCAACATGATAATCAGCAGCCAAATATTGATATGAAGTACATTGGAGTTTTGTTGTTTTTGATAGGGATAAGTGGGAATTTCTACCACCACTTTCTTCTTTCCAAATTAAGGAAAAATGGAGAAAAAGAGAAGTCTTACAAGATTCCCAGGGGGGGTCTTTTTGGCTTAGTAATTTGCCCTCATTATCTCTTTGAGATTATTGAATTTGTGGGATTCTGTTTCATTTCTCAAACATTGTATTCATTTTGCTTCACCATAGGAACAATATTCTACTTGATGGGAAGGAGTTATGCCACTAGGAAGTGGTACCTTTCCAAGTTTGAAGACTTCCCAAAAGAGGTGAAAGCTCTTGTTCCATTTGTTTTCTAATCAGTAGTAGTAATGCACGTGCAAGGCACGTGGTTATGTACAAGTCTTCAATAACGTTTTATGTTTTGAAAATGGTGATATTTTTAAAATGTACAAGTTCTTTCATTTTCAGATCAGTTTTTGTAAAACTTACTAGAATGGAAGTTGATATTGCCGGCCGCAATTTATTTCTGTTGCTCAATATGTTGTGTTTGAGATTCTATGCGATAAGATGTGATGGTCTATGTCAAATTTCAGAAATCTTTATCAATTATACTGTCAGGGGTTAAAATTGTCAAAAAAATTAAAAGTTTAGAGAATAAATTGACATAACGCTCATAGTTTAGGACTAATAAAGCCAATAACCAAAAAAAAAAAAAAGAACAAAAATGTTCAAGTTAACGTCACTTTTAATTTTTTAGTTTTTAGTTAATTAAAACAAAAGGGTATTAAGGTCATTGTACGTTCTAAAAGTCAACTTCAGGGTATTTAGAAGATGTTTTTAAAAAGTCAAGGTACCGTTTTAATATTATTAAAAACACAAAGTACCAACAGCATGTTTTGCTATAATAATATAAGGTATCTCAATTTTAAATTTGAAAGGCATTGTGTTCTAGGCAAAGAAAACGTTAAAAATAAAGCGCCAAAGAGGGTATAGTTGTGTTTGCATGGAGAATATTCCAAGGCCTCCTCTAGTGCCAAAGACAACAAATGCGACAAACAACTTCGGCCACCAGAAATATGTGCGGATTAGAACTTTACAATTGCTCAAGTTTAAGCTTCCAAAAAGGAAAAAAAAAAAAACAAAATAAAGAAAAACAACAACAAGAACAAAGATTACTCCATTCTTACCTGAGAGCTGACCATAGTGATGGAGTGCATAATGTTGAAATTTGCCTTCCCACCACCTCCTTCTCTGTTTCTCAATGCCATGACTTTGATCAACTTACCATCATTTGCCATTGGTGGATTCTTGGAGCTGAGAGGAAAGAATATGCAATATTCAAAATTCACTAATAATTACAATCCTCAAAAACATGGTGCTGAAGGGAAAAAAACCATGGTGTCTAGTAGAACCGGCATGCTTATATGCTATATTCCAGCATTCATTGTTAGCCTGGCGTTGCTCTCGCTTTCACCCCATAAGAATATCAGAATGCTCTTGCTCAAATTCACTTTGGCCCTTCATTTCTTCAAGAGGATATTTGAGGTACCAAATTAAAAATATTGCTCATTTTATATTTTTCATTCTGCTAGCTTGAGCCTTTTTATGTCTAACGGGTTTGAATTGAGTCTCTTAATTTAAAAATTTAGCAGGAAAAAAAAAAAAAGACGTCTCGGGAGCTTTTCATAATGGTTTTGTTTTGTTTTTATGGAAATTTTTTGGAGTCATTGTCCATGGATAAATAAAAACTGTTTCAACATCAAGAACAACAAAAATTAAAACAAACATATAATAACATATTCGAAATTGTAACCAAGCATTCCCCATTGATTCTATTCCCGATTCATAACTAGAAAGTTTTTCTGGTCCTTTGCTAATTGGGGCTAAAACTCCGGAAATTATAAATGTAAAAATAAGAGTAACACTTGATATTATTAAAAATGCCCAGAAAATATCATATTTATAAAGCGGAAACATAGACGTACTCCTATTAATGTAATGTAGAAAATATACCAGAGTAGTCAATCCGAATTGAAATTAATTGTCAAGTCATCCATAACTGTTTAATCAAAATAAGCTTTCATTTTGATAAAATTGCTTAGTTTCGTTTGTTTGTTGTTGTATATGTTTTATTTCAAGATTCTCTACATCCACTAGAATTTCATTTCTATTCCATCTACTTCGCTTTTATTTCAATAGAGATATAATAAATCTAAGTATAAGGTGTTGTTTGAGTATAGGAAAAATTGTTAATGTATTTGATTATATTTCCGAAAATATATAAATCCTGAAAAATAAAAATGATAAAGGGAAAATAATTTTTAATCATTTTCAAATCTCTTTAGGAAATCGGTCTCGTTTTTTAGATATTCATTGTCGTTCACATAATCAAACACAATCTCAAAAAATGAAAACAAACGGAGAAGAGTACAGTTTATGGATCATTAAAATACCTTACTTTATATTATTGTACATGTTTGTAGGTTCTATTTGTTCACAAATATAGCGGAAGCATGATTCTGACCACTGCAACTACCATCTCAATCAGTTATCTATCCTCCATGGCAAGCATGATTTATGCTCAACATGTTTCTCAGGGGCTTGAAGAGCCACCCATTGATCTAAAATACCTTGGTTTTCTATTATTTCTAATAGGAATAATTGGAAATTTCTACCACCACTATCTTCTTTCACAACTGAGGGAAAAGGGTGAAAAAATGTATAAAATTCCAAAGGGTGGCTTTTTGAGATTATAGGATTTTTAGGGTTCTCTTTTATTTCTCAAACCTTGCATTCATTCTCAATAGCAACAGGCACAATGTTCTACTTGTTGGGAAGGAGTTTTGCTACTAGGCAATGGTACCTTAATAAGTTTGAGCACTTCCCTCAAGATGTCAAGGCTGTAATTCCTTATATTTTCTAAACGTAGAAAAAGTATTAAATACGGTTATTTATCTTTTTTAAACGATGTGTTTTAGGTTTGTTTCAGAAAGTGTACTCTTAGGCCTCGTTCACTTCGCGGATTCGAGTTTTCAATTCGAGTTGAGATGTGACATTTTTTTAGAGCTTTTTACTGTAGCAAAAAAAAAAAAAAGATATGAAATTTTTTGAGAGCTTTTTACTGTAAAAATCTAGAACTGAAAACTCGAATCGATAAAATGTACGAGACCTTAATTTTTGATGTCATCAAATGCATACCATCAGATTATATGTGGATACCGGCTAGTATCACAACGATAATCTGTTAGTATCTTAAAGGTATACTTGGTATTTAAAATATACCTATATATATATATATATAAAGCTTCTAGAAGGCCAACCACTACAAACATATATATATATATATATATTATGGCATAAGTTAGTCCAAACCAAGAATTTATAGCGTTTATGTAAAGAGTCCATCTTCGATTTGCTTCATTACTAGGCCTAGCTCTTTTTCTTTGGATTCAACTGAGATGAATTGCTCGTTAAACAATGAAAAACCAATAGAATATCGGATGGTTTTGAGACAGCTTGAAAATTATGGTCAAACTTCCTAGGAAATTTGTGAAATATTTCCTAAAATTTTAATATAGAAGATGAAAACAGAAGATGAAAAATGAGACAATTTGTAAAGTCTAGGAGAAATAGATGTGATGATCGACATAGTTTGGTGCATAAGTGAAAGTAACAATGATTCTAATTTAAAACTATATACGATTATTGTCATTTTTTACCCTCCTAAACTTTTGGGACTTTGAAAAATTGCGCCGTACGTAAGCTTTTAAATTCTTTAATTAACTCCTTAAATTTGTCAAACTGTTGTAACGTGGTCTAAATTAATCATCGTTTAAAGTGGTAATAGAACAAAGTCGGTTAAATTAGAACAAATTGCCCACGCTTAACAAGTTTAAGGGCTTAATTGCTATAATTAAAAGTTCAAAAGCAATTTGTCAAAGTAGAGTTTAAAGGATGAATATTATCGTCTCATGGCTACAAATAAAAATAAAACACACGCCAAAAAAAAAAAAAAAAAAAAAAAACCCAAAGGAGAAAAAACA